TGCACATAAAATGTTTCACAATTTTGGTGTAACATGCTGCGCGCGCACCCTGCGCACCCTGAATTTCCAACACTGCTTTGAACAAATCAACAGATTATTACAGATTATTAACAGATTATGAAAGAGCAAGTTTAATGGTATTTCTTTCAATTATTAATAAACCGATTTATTTTTAGAAAGTGTAACATAGATATAACAAGAATTATCTTGTAAATTCATTTGTAACATATAATGAATTGATCAGCAGACTATTCTGGAATCGAATCCCAATATGGAAATATCCCTGACTGTCTTTGCTTTGATGGATCTGGATATTTACATGGCAAGCTTGGTCACAGTGCTATCCATTCATATTTACCCTAGAGGTAGGATTGTTGCAGTCAACTCTCTTCAACCAGTGTACCAGCAGCCTTCTTTGGTCTGGGAAGATTAGTGAAAGTGTCATTGATTATGCAATCTTTTGATAAACTCCAGGGCATCTTTCCCCCTCCCCAGAATTCAATTGCATCATTTTATCATCAGGCACGAGTCAGATTAGCCTTGTAAACATGAGGAACATGTGAGAATCAGTGTATAAATTTCAGTGTGTAACTAATGCAGATTTCTACAAATTTAGAAACTATCTGCAGAAAACTGCACATTCCGCACATTGAATTTTATACACTGTGAGAATGACTGTAAAGCATTCAAGGTAGTGTGTTCACCTTGACATCTGTAAATTTCTGATAATCAAACATTACATATTGAATTGTTACATATCAAATTGTTTCTTCTGCAAAGTCATATTTCTTTTTTTCTTTAATATTAATGTTAATATTAATGACAGTTAAGAAAAGAAAATGATACCAATCATTTGTAAAATTGATAAGAGTCTTGTATATAATAAATACCAGATATACATGTTCTGTTCCATGATTTGATTTCAATAATACATTTATAAAATAAAAGGACATACATCAATATAAAAAAAAGTATACCTATTAATGACTCACCTTCTTTAGTAGGCCAAGATGACAAACGTGAATGTTGTTTGGTATGATGGACTCTTTGTAAAAAATAAATTGCTTTTCCAAAAAAAAAAATCAATTCGCATCTGTCCTACCAAAAAAAAACCAATAGGATAAATAATTGATGTGTACACGGGCATAGTGGAAGTTTGTTATTAAATAAACGTTATATAGAACTCATTGCTTCTGAAACTTCACCAGTATATAGTTGTTACCTCTCTAAATTGGAGATCAAGTTCAGATCCAATTCAAATACAGTTTATCACTTACTTTTTATTGCCAGAATGTTTGCCGTGTATTGTAAAGCTACGTTGCACAATATAAAAAATTAGTGCAACATTTCAAATTTCCACTATGCTGTGTACACGTCGATCAAATCACAAACTTAAAGATGTCATCAAAAAAGACACAAAAAAAAGAAGAAAAGAAGAGGCATGTGGTGCAGAGAAGGGATAAATGTTATTCATTTTAAAGAGAATGGTGGTGGTTGCTATTTGTTACAACTTGTCTTCATTCTAGTTGCTAATAAATCTTTTTTAGTTCTCATGTGAAAAGGGCAAAGGTTGGAAAAGAAAACACAAAGGAGTTTAATAAAAAAGAACATTCGGTTGAACTTAGAGTAATATTTTTTATTTATTTATTTATTTTTTTTTAAATATTTACTTTCATTTGCAGAACATTTATATACTTAGTAACTTATTGTCTAACATCATAGAAAACAAATAATCCCATATCGAAAAAGTTACTCAGACTTAATAAAGGAATAGCCAGATATTGTATCATTTTTTTGCCCGAAACAAATGTAAAAGATCCAATTAAAAATATTTTATTGACTAAAGAATGGAAATATTCAGAATTAGAATGGAATAAGATCTACACATTTTATTTTAATTAAAAGCATTTTTGGAAAATTTACATGATAATATCAAAATTACAATAAATATTCATAGGTTGAAGATATGATTCATAAATCTTTTGCATTTAACATACCCAAGAATGTACAGAAATTGTTAGAAACATATAATGAAGTTATTACAAGGGAATCAACAGGGTTTCAAATAAGTCTTAGTAAAGTGGCATTAATTGTAAATCAAAATCCATTCCTCAATGAATTAGACCAGGGTTGGCAAATGTGTGGTCCATTGATGGTCCATTGATGGTCTATTGGGTCCATTGGTGTAACACTTTAAACATATTTAGTATTTTATTAATGGCAATGGACCAGTCCAAAATCCAACTGTTCTCAATGGACCAGTCAATTTGCCAACCCTGAATTAGACTATTCCTCTTATATATTTCAAAAATATTGGATTTTACAGTAGGTTCAGCTTGTATATATTGCTTTGTAAGGATATCATATTTTATGAGTATTCTTTGTTAATAGTTTTTTTTTACTAATCTTCAATACACTTTAGCATACATGTTTCAATATTCCAAACTATTTTAATGATTCAAATATATCGGAGTTTTTGTATTGTGATCACATTATAAATCATCTTTGGGAAGATGTTTTCTTGGATGTAAATCCCACAATTTGCGTACAAATGTAAATGTATTCATTTTTGTTTTAGTTTTAACTAAATGAATCATTCTATGATATATTAACATATTTATATTGTAATCAGAGGTGAAATAGAAAATATTTATCGTAAAAGTCAAAAAAATCATTCCAGAGCACCATCACAACATTGAGCCATTGGATGGTTCCATGATGCAATCATAATAATGAGGCTTCTTGGTATAGATTTTCAGATAGGATATGGTGAGGTAGTTGGGAACCCATGTTATCATGATGATTCTAAAAGAGATGAAGACTGTGAAAAAGTTCTAAAAGATAAAAGTGTGCTTTTTTCTTCTATCAAATAATGGAAGCCAAGTTAATTTTTTGCTTGTGCTTAATTTAACAGCGATGGATTTAGCTCTTTATAAATTGTGACAATTTTTGGCAGAAAAGGAAATTGAAAAAAAAAGATTTTGAACAGCTAGAGACATTTGGACTACTTGTATATAGTAAGAATTGAAATATTCTAATGTGATTTACTTGTTATTATACTAAATCTTTATATTTTTTTTATTTAGAAAGGGATGTTTTTATATACTCAACACATTGGGTTGATGGTATATATTTAGTTGATCAAATTGATGGATTTTCAATTCCTGGTATTTCAAATCAAATAAAGCAAGCATCATCAAATATAATTGAATCAATGTTGGAAATTTTTTTTGCAAAAATTGTGACTTTCATTTTAACTTTTTTAATGCATATCTGATATCTCTTATTGATAGTCTCGTGTTCTTCACTTGTATGAGCACGTAAATTTCCTTGTGCAAAATAAACCAGTAAGATATGGCCGAAGAAAAAAAAAATGAAGTTCTCATTTTGGCATCTCCGAAAAATAATTAGTTAAAATGTAAACTTGATATTTTAGTTTAACAATAATATGAACATGCTTGATTTGTTGTTACAGCAGATGAATTATTATTAGAGGAATTGTTTGATCATGTATAACATTGTTGTTTATTGTGTTTAAAAACTGAATGAGTAAAAAAAAAATTGTATTGCAAAAATTAGAGAATTTATATGTATGCGTGAAAATCATGTTTACTACAGGACTGTTTATTAAATGATATGTTCGCAAAATTTGCTATTATTCAATCACCTTGTTTGGTTTTGTTACAGTATACCCCATATATATGTTTGTGTTTTTTTTAATAGGGAGAAGGCCAGGTCACAGTCTAGGTGAAGTGTTTCTAAGGTCAAAATTCGAAGGAAGGAAGGTCATTGGTAATCTAAAAATCCACCATAATGGCCTTAATTACACTTCTAATGCTTTTCCAGAACTTGATAATGATTTAATTAATTCACATATCCAATAGCATTATTATTAATATTAATACTAATAAATTTATCATTCAGTTATTATCTTCAATAATATCAAACACGTATTTGTTCAGCCTTGTGATAATGAAAAGATTGTAAGATTACACTTTCATTTAATTAACCCAATCAAATTTGGGGAAACATCATCATCAATTGTAAGTTTTTTACTTAAAAATAAGTTTTTGTTTGGTTTTTTTATTTTTGTAAAGCTTATAATAAATCATTTTATTTTAGGATATTCAATTTGCAAAAGGAATTTCAAATGTTAAAAACATCAAAATTGATGAAGTGGATGACGATGAGGATGAAGAAGTAAAGAGATTGTATGAAGAACTGGAGGAAGAAGTGGTAGAGGAGGAGAAACAGAAAGGATTGATAAATAAGTGGTTTAGGGATTTTGCTAAAAACATTTCAATAAGAGTAAGTATTATTTATTTACAAGAATTGAATAATATATATATAAATTCATTTTTATTTTAATCTGATTTTTTAGAGTGGCATTACTATCGATACCTTTAGAGATATTAAATTCTCTAGAAATCCATTTAAAAACCAAGTATTATTGCAACCAACCACCAATTGCCTTGTCCACTTAATCAATTTATCTTTCTTGGTGATAACAATGGCAGATGTGGAAGTTGTAAATTTGGAAAGAATACAGTATGGGTTAAAAAATTTTGACATGGTACTTATTTTCAAAGATTATTCACATCCACTAGTACACATTAACACTATTCCAATGAGTCAACTAGAAGGTGTAAAGAGTTGGTTGGATTCAATAGGTATTGTATATTATGAAGGGACACTCAATTTGAATTGGACACAAATAGTGCGAAACATTAACAAAGATCCAGCTGGTTTTTATACAAATGGAGGTTTGTCATTTTTAGACATGGATGGGAAAGATGATGATGACTTGGAAGTGTCATCTGATTCCGCAAGTGAATTTAAGCTTACAGAGAGTGAAGAAGAAGATTCTGAGGCAAGTTTCATCTATATTCATCATTGTCATTATTTATAATAGAATCATTTTATCTTTTTGATTTTTTGATTTTTTTTTTTTTTTTGGAAAGTTCATAATTGACAAGGAAATATACATTTCAATTAATATTACAGAGTAGCAGTGAATACCAAGAAGAATCTGTTAGTGCATCAGAATTGGAGGAAGAAAGTGACGAATCTGTTTTAAGTCAGGATGAACTTAAAGAAAGGGCTCCTAAAGGTTCGTATTGTATATACTTTAATGATTTATTTTTTTAAAAAAATAATGATAATTCAACAACATTGTTTATTGTGTTTATTGCTAGTTGATAAGAAAATACAAGACATTAAGCGTAAAAATTCTAATGATGTTCATGGCAGTAGTAGTACAAACACAAATAAGAAACCTAGTCAAAGTTGATTGATGAAAATGATTTCAATTAATTAATAATTTTAGTTTTTTAAATTTACTTTGCTATAAATACATAAAAAAGATTTTTTCATAATCTTGGAGTATTATTGGTCTGATTTGGTGAATTTAAATGATTAGTAAACTACTATGGTTTTGATGGTCCTTTTCCATTGCTCTCTAAGTTTAATGATATGTGCTATTCAAACAGGTTTCTTAACTTCTACAATTGCTTGATGAATTTTTCTGATATTGTAAATTACATGTCACAAGATTTATAATAAAATTGAATATGATCCCTGAAATCCATTATTATAGTACTAATACTAATACAAATTTCACTTTGTCTGATTTTGTCCCATTTTATCACTTAATGGTCTCACAAATTTGCAGATCTTTGTATTTTTGAAAATTTTTTTTTAAAAAAAAAATAATGATTTCACCTAGAGAGCGAGAGCGAGATAGGTATAGCACCACTACTAGTAGTAGTAGAAGAGAAAGAGGATCTAGATCTCCGTATTCAAGGGATAGGGATAGATATAGGGATAGATATAGAGACAGGGACAGAGATAGAGATATGGAGAGAGATATGGAGAGAGAAAGGGGAAGAGATCGTGAAAGAGATCGTGAAAGAGATCGTGAAAGAGACAGAGACAGAGACAGAGACAGAGATAGAGACAGAGATAGAGATAGAGATAGAGACAGAGACAGAGATAGAGATGGTAGAAGAGAGCGTCGTAAATCACCGGAGAGAAGAAGTAGTAGTAGTCGACATAGATCAATGTCACCGGCTATTAGAAGAGGTATTTTAACTGATTTCAAATATGCCAACTAATGATTCTTTAAAAACGCACTTCCTAATTAAAAATTCTATCTGTATATTATGCATTGTGTTTTTATGGAAAAAAGGTAGGTATTAAAATTTAAGGAAGCTAATAATAATATAGCAATATATATATACACATATATATATTTTTTTATTATTTTCATTATTTTTTCCTTCCCTTTTTTTCATGAGCTACTAGTTGAAGCTAATAAGGTATGAATTTTAGGGAATTGGTTTTCAAGAATTTTAATACTTGATGTTTCACGTTTTTTTTCCTATCACATTGCTATCAATCACTTTCGCACATCACAAACATAAAAAAAAACTTCAGATCGTGGTTTAAGTCCTCGTGGTTCAGAACGTGATCGAAGAGGTATAACAAAGACGTTGTGTTGATCTGTCTATTTTTATGCTATCGTCATGGAAATTTTTTTTTAAAAATCATTATTATCATCATTATTGAATTAGATGACAGGCACGACCGTGATAAAAAAGGAAGACCACACTCTCGACCACATTCACCAATGTAAGAATAATATATTATTTTTTTTATTAATGCGCCATTATTAACAAATTAGTAATTAATTACTGTTTGTTTGTTGTGATTATAATTTTAGGAAAGGGGAGGTTTCAACAGGTTATTTATAAATTATTAAACTTCAAAAAATGATTTTACATTATTGAAGCGAAAATAAATAATATGTTTTTTGAAAATTTTACAGAGTCTTCCAATAATCCGTTGGCAAATATAAATCCTGACGAAGATCCTGAAATGGCAATGATGATGCTTATGGGTATAACAGGATTCACCACTACAAAGGTAATATATAAATCATATGTTTTATATTATTAATGTATCATAAATATATCATAATTTTAATATTTATTTTTGATTTTAGGGTAAAAAAGTTTCTGGTAATAATGATATTTCAGCAGTTGACATTAAAAAGCAAAGACAATATCGTCAATATATGAATAGAAGAGGTGGATTTAATAGGTAAATTATTTGAATGAATGAATGAATGAATTTAATCAATATTTTTTGAATGCTACTAACAAATATTTATTTATTTACTTGATCAATTATAATTTATAATTGAAGGCCATTGGATAGAATTCAGTGATGACGAAATAGAAATATATTATGACAAAATATTTTTATTAATATTTTATTTGGAAAATAAATCTAAATTAATTTGCATTTATATTTCTCTATTCATACAAAATTTCTATTGATTATTGAGAAATAAATTTTTAATAGTTGCATAAAAAATTAATATACATCTAAAACAAAATAATACAATCAACAACACTTGCACTTACAATTAGCGTCGTTGAATTTTAAATTAACAAAAAAAAAACTAATTCATTGTTTCATTATTATTATTATTGTTTAATTAATCACATTATTGTTTGAAGTTGGTGTCAACTTTTCTAATATCAATTTTTTTACTAGTAAAATAAATCAATGGAATAACAGCAAATGGCAATTGAATACTCAATGCCACTTGACTTGCCACCAACATGCTATTAAATCCATCTTGAGTCTTCAAAATAACAAATTAGCATTGCAGGTGTAATAGCAATAGCTCTGTAACAAGTTCCTTACCCATGGTCTCACATTCTTCCAACTTATAAGTTCTTCCATCATTGCTTGCACTACTTGGCCAGCAATTGTAGCTGCAAAGTGTTGAACTTGACCAGCGATCAATAACGACAGAGCAAAAATTGTCCCTGCAGCTTTTCCAAGAAATTCTAACAATAAATTATAAGCATCAACAAATTAGCCATTACCATTTGTTCTTCTTCATCTTTATAAAAAACGCAAAACTTAAAGCAACTGTTGAATCGATAGTTAATAGGATCATTGTTTGTCAAACGATAGGACTTTTTTGATTCTAATTCCTGGAGACCTCCTGATCGCAGTCTACAATACTATTAAAATCATCGTTACCAAAGAATCCTTTTGATTCCTTTCAGATACAGATGTGAGGCATAACTACTGCACCAATCATACCAATTTTAGTGTATAATTGATCTCTATTAGCGAATATTCTGAAATTAGGCAAGTATCCTTTTAGTACTTTGGTTGTGAATAAATCAATTATTTTCCTTTTGCTCTTTATCATCATCTATATTAATAATACTACTATTATCATTACCATAACTGAACCATTCTTTTTCTATTGTCTTTTTTTTTTCATATTGACGTAAGGTAATTTGATTCCATTCGTTGATGGTCTTTTTTTAAAAATTTATTTGTGATAGAAGGAAAAAATATAATAAATAAAAAAGTAATATTAAACTTTGTTGTTTTCAAGAATTCAAAACGACGCTTTCTTTTAATAAAAAATGGTTGTTGCAACCTTTTTGAATAAAAAATTAAGTTTAGAGGGTTATGATAGACAAAGTTAAAAATTTGATTGACAATCCTGTTTGTTAACGAAGCTTATTGCTTAATAATAATAATAAGGTATTTACATTTCAATCTTAATTCGAATTATATTCTTGACCCGTGGATTGTGAATCCAGAGCATCAGTCCTATCATTTGCGACTCACATTCTTTGGAGTGAAGCTAGTAAAAGAAAATATAATTTTAATTGGTACTAAATATGATGAAAATGCATGCACCTTATGAATTTTCTTTTACTAATGAACATAAATCTAGCCAGCATTGCAAATTAAGCAATAAACAAATCTCGAACGTATTATTTTTTTCGTAAATGCATATTAATATATGGTCTCTATTTTATTCATTGCACACACCCACACCGCACCGCATCCACACATACACAAGTCAAAAAATCAAAATCAAATCCAATTCGGTTATATGACTGTTAGCCATTAATATAAAAACATATTCATTATATAGGATGAAAGCATTTATGCATTAATTCTTCACCAAAACCCGTACTCCAGGATTTTTTAGTTATTTTGCCTTTTCCGATTGCTCCAAACTATCAAAATATAAGCACGAGGTGTTCCTATCTAACTGGTTGTACCAACGGAATAAGTTTAATCCATACAATACTCAATTACATTATCAGCTCCCCAACAAATGGTTTTATTAGTGATCTTAAGTGCATGCTTTCTCTTGGTGAAAACATATTCGTAGCCATATGTGAAAGACTCATATACATCATCTAAAGGTCTGAGAGGTGTGTTTGATATAAGGTCATTGTGTGTATATATGAAATACAGATATTTTAAGCACAGTACTTTAATGACCCATAGCTACAAACACAATAATATTTTCATACCGGCTATCCAGAACCATGTCCCAAACTTCCAGCCATCCATCAAGATTCCTTTATTACAGGATCAAAGTCACCATCACCACCGATAGGCACTATTTATTATAACAGGTTCATAATCTATAATGCTTTTCATCATGGCAATTGTAATTTGACATCATCAACGCTCTGATAATGTACGGTTACTTCATATTCCAGCCACAAATTTTGTGGGTTTTGTAAACGAAAAAATAGTCTCTGCTAACAATGATGAGCAACAAAGTGTTCAAAAAATAGCTTCTATTAATAATGAACAACTACAAAGTGTTTATCCAGTTCAAATGGCAGCTTATTTTACCAATAACGAACAACAAAATCTTTACATTGTATTGCATGTAATCAATATGATTATCAAAAAATTTACTATATAGCAAATTTGAAGAACAATGTTCTACAATTGAAGGATGTCGAGACCAACTATCTTATTTTTTGGCTCGTCAAGCAAGGAAAATTGTTTAAATAATCAACTTAAATCTAGATAGGATTTGTGATTGTAAAATCTTACCTAAAAGTGTACGGGAAACGAATAAAATTTAATTAGAAAAATTACCTTTATTTAGATTTCTCTCATGCCATCAAGTGATAAGCACATTTTAGATGAAGGGATTAAAGTAGAAACAGCAATATCTGATTTGAAGGTGACTTGTGACTTGTATTGCTCTTCATGCAAAAATCATAGTATAAAAACAGAAATTTGCTTTATTTTTGAATGACCAATGAAGGTGATTGTGTTGAATTTATACAAACCTGATGTCTCCACATGCAGAATTTTTATCAGTTTTCACCAAAACCTATAAACAAGCCATCACCTCCAGTTTCTTCTCATTCGATATCAGAAAAACAATGGAATATTTTATTGTCTCATCTTCAAGATAAAAAACTATGAATTATATTTTTGTGATAATTTTTACTTATTTATATTTATATAGAGCTTACTTGTTGGACCGAACATTCAGGTTCGAATTGTACGAATAATTCGTTGCTTTTTACTAAACACTTTCAGTGTAAAGCTGTCCTGCGCTTTTCATTTATTAATGAATTCGAGTTCTTGTTTTACGTGGATATTTTTAATAGTATGAGGCAATAATTCTGGATATACGTGGTATGGCTGAAAAGTAATGAGAATCATTGTATTACTCAATAATATGTGGGTATACCTAAACAAAGTTATGA